ATTCTTATACACGCTCATGCAATTTATTTATTTATTTACCTACTTATCTCATCTGTAAATTATCATTATCTTTACATATTGTTGTGGTTGTTTTGAAAAGTATTGATTATTAAAATGATACTCTTTAAGCCGACTGGTAAATGGTTGATACGGCATAACCCTAATTGTGTAGACAAAAACTATTTTTAACAAGGAAATAGAGTATAGAGTTATTAAAAGCCAATATAAATAGATTAAGCATAAAACCGTGCTACACACTATACTTCCTGTATTGGAATATTGTATAATTGTAATAACCGTTAACATCTGAATGTAGGAATTGTAGTCGCGCGGCAAGATGTCACATGATTGTTGTCAGGGAATACATACTGTATTGACTTGTCACTGTATTAGATTGCTTAAAGATTAAACAAGTTCAACACACATTTTATCAATAATAAAATTTTGATTATTTTCTTTTTGATGTATCATTTTAATTTCAAAATTTTCTATATATAATGTCGAAGGATTACAGTACTGTGGTTTTCCTCACAAAATTATGCACCGACTTAATATGAACCTTTAAAACGTGACGTGTATTGATCCAAGAACAGTAATTGGGTGTCAAATAAATATTCTATTTTATACATCGTAAGCATTGAATAGATGTTTTTGCTCACTAAGGTGTCTTACAAAGTTTTATGAGAAAAGTTAACTTTAATTGCGATAGACTATTTTCGATTTTTTTTTTTTTTTTTTAAAAAAAAAATACTGTATGGCAACTCGCAGTTTGCTAGGTCAATTAACAACATTACGTATTTAATGCATTGAAGGATATGATTTTTGATCTTACACTTCGAAAAAACCGATTTCACAAATATATTATTAAATTTTTCACGTACAGATTTATGATATTGTATTTTGCTTGATAAAAAATAACAGAAAAAGAAAATTAACTTAAAATATATGAGTGTTTATTGACAGGAGAACATCGCAAGGATCATTGGCCTCGACGGTAATCCTGTCGGTATCCTTGAAGGTGGCCTTGAGGATTACCCTGTGGATGACCTTGTGGATTACCCTGTGGATTACCCTGTGGATATACTGGAGGAGGATAATTTCCTTGCGTCGAATGTGGAGTTGGCATCGGGACTGGCATCTGCATGATGGGAATGGAATTATCATATTCTGGTGTAGTAGAAGCGTAAATTGTCGGGCTTGTTCGCACTTCATACATTGGCTCATGCGGAGTAATTGATGGCAGTTGTGTGCTATGTGTAACAGGTGGTTCGCTATGAAATGAACTCGGAGGTGGTTCGCTATGAAATGATCCTGGAGGTGGTTCACTATGAAATGATCCTGGAGGTGGTTCACTATGAAATGATCCTGGAGGGGGTTCGCTATGAAATGACCCTGGAGGTGGTGAGCTATGGAGTGTTCCTGGTGCCTCGCTATGAAATGATCCTGGAGGTGGCCTTTGATTATCGACACTATGTGACAAGGTTTCTGGATGTTTTACGGAGGAAGGAGTTTTTTTGCTTTTTTTGGATGGACTGACTTTCGATGAAGAGGCTCCACCCATAAATGGATTGTCGCTCAACTTTGGGTGCAACTTTTCCTTTTTCCAACACAACCAGCACATCGCCCCTCCAATCATTAAAAGAATTAATCCAACGAATAAAACAATAAGAACCGTGACCGCGACCTTTGCGCCTTGGTTGGAAGAGTATAATGCAGCAGGTGGGCTACAGAATATATGCAATGATAGTGTTAAATTTATGTAAAATTTACTTAAAGATCAGAACCGCTGTATCGTTAAAATTTTTAGACCTTTTAGCAGTAAAGCTTACACCGTGTTTTACACATTCGCTTTTATAGTCTGACAAAGGTGCGATACTAAAGTTGGTCGTGGGCGTCACATAACATGTCAGGCATGCCGTAATGTTATTATAAAATGGTTGATTGCATTGACAAGGAGCTAATTTGGTATCTAAAAAAATTTTTTATCAAGTATTTTTGAACTTCAAAAAACTCGGGAAAACCGTTGCTACCGTGATCGTGAAAAAGAATTGAGATCACATACCGTTTACATTATAAACCGAACCGTTTAAAGGCGGCCTAAAACTTCCACCACATTGTACTAACGACGAATTCACAGTTCTACAAGGATCGTTGGCCGTGCCACAAGAATCGCTTTTATTCTGACCAAGCGTGCCAGTGCTTCCAACAAGTATTAGAAAAATCAATACACACAATTTGTATATTGACATCTAAGGTTTGTTTTTTTTTTTGACCGCAAAGAGAATCGTATACATATAATATAAAGTGTTAACGACTTCATGTAATGACAATTGATCATTAATTCACTTAATTACCTTGAAGGAAAAGTGGCTTTGGTATTAGAGTGAAAACAATGAATTTGCGAGTCCTCAATATATAGAATTATCTATTGTGGCTTAACACCGATAATGAATTCGGGCATTTTAAGTATAACGCAATTTATATTGATCACTGATTCATGTCGAGTTTAATGATATCGTATGAACCATCGATCGATCTGTTTCCGATAGATCTCGGATATATAATTAAATGGTTACACGATTTGTCTGAAAAAATCTAGACGCGATATATTATGTGTATATACAATCTCACGAGAATGAATCTAACGGTAGAAATGTTGTTTCTAAATGACCGCATCTTTCGTAAAAAGAAGCAAAATTCTAACTATTGATCGACACAACAACACGAATATGTAAAATTGGAATTGACTATTCGACATCCGTGATATCGTTAAGAGCTCCATATTATAACACAAATTCGGGTTTTTGAAAGCTGAGCCTTCAAAATTGATCGCAAGCCTTTTTAGTTACCTGTCCAAGCACATTTAACAAGATTTAATTCGGGTACTAATGCTAAGTAGATCGAAAATTTTGATGAGCCACTAGTGATCAATACAGAATACTGTACAGTACTGTATACAGTAGTGTTTTGATGTTTTTCGAATTTCATATTTGATTGGTCATATGGTATTAAAATTTACATATGTTTAAATTTCCTATTACTGTAAAAGCGAGTGGTATTTTTTTTCGTGATTTAAAATTTACAGTATGGATCAAAAATAATTGGAAAAAATCAAAACTCATATTTTATTTATAATTTAATAAATAATTAAATAAT